GAAGGTCTGCGCTCGAGGTTCGGCAGTGCAGAGAGTACGCTCAAAAACGGTCGCCGGAAACGCTCTCAACCCGCGATTCGAACTCATGACTCTCTTTCAACTAACGGATGAGAACGCCGCAGTAGTCGTTTTCCATGTACTACATCAAACCGAAGGTGGCGCCTGTCTCCTCGCATGCAACGCTCTACGCGTCGCATGGCTCAATCCTGGCGTACGATGGGTTCCTCTCTTCGACACATTAAACAACGAACCACTGCGGTGTGCCGGCCTCTGGGTCAAAGTGCAAAAAGTTACCAAAACTACCGGACGCAAGACTCCTGCACCTCAACACCGTACACCCTCCCTCGTACACCGCAAACACCATAGACAAAAGTCCGCATCCAGAATCAGCAATTAGACCCACAATCACCTACTTAGTTAGTTAGTTAGATAGATAGGTAGATAATAATCTTAATTATGCGACGCTCTAGTTAGACAAACAAGAGCCAACTAACCAGGCAGGGTCAACTAACTACGCATACACGATAGCTGCCTCAATAACGGGATCCTACCGGGTGGCTTCCTAGTCCTTACCACCGATAATTTGTATCATTCATTGACACCAAAATATATCATTTATTGAACACATAACATGTTTCAAAAACTGAAAGCTCAAGACACCAAAAACGGTCCAACAGACATTTCAGTAAAGGTTGAGAAAAGCCCAAAAAGGGGGGGAACAATAAGTCGCCACGAAATCATAAGATCCCAATGGCTTGTCAGAAATTTCAACGTCCAACGAACCCGTGAAGGGACCATCAGTGACCCATCACATCAGCAGCTGCAATGCCTGCTCCGAGTCACTTCGGGCTTATGCGTGAGCAAGCCAACGAAGCCGTCAAGGTAAGTTTGAGAAAAATTCATTTTCCGAAAACGCGTGTCGCACACGGTTCTGCCCATAATTATCGTTATGGCGTAGGTTTGTCAGGGGGTGGTTTATATGTTATGCCACGGGCCGTAGCAAGCCGGGGTTCGGCTCGGTCGAGTGCGGAATGTACTCTTTCGAGACTGGTCATATTCACTGAGGAACCCTGTGTTTTGATAGAGAGCATCGAAGACTTGCGATGGATGTTCCGAACTGCTTATGGGCCACAGAAATACGAGATTTATCCTAACGAGAATGCGGTAGGACGTAAAAGTCGTCGACGAAGGACCTTGCCCACTTATGGGACTAGTGGGAGAAGAAGCGGTCACAAAAGTAGGAGAAAAAACACGGGAGGCGGTCGGAGAAGAAGTGCGGGTAGTCGGAGAAAGAACGGCGATGTAGAGCTGTTGTCTGGCGAGAAGTGTCCACGTCTGCAGTTCGGGTCGGCGCCCTTTCGGTGGCAGTGGACCCCGGACTTGCCCGACGGCACCGACATCGTGGACCGGTTCCATCAGCGTGCTATCCTCTTCGGCTTCGAACTCGGCAACGGGTTCAGCATTACCAATAAACTCGGCGAAAATGTCGGCTCCCTCTACAAGATCTGTCCCAGCCAAGACGGAGACACTAGCACCAGCGGCGGGGACGCCGCCGCTGAGGGAAGTGCGACAAAAGTGGCTTGCGGCTATCACCTGATTTTCGCTCGCGCGCCTCCGGAAAGAAAACCGGCCCGGTCGGCAGCCGAGACGTTGGCAGCCGAAGCGCGCGAGGTGGCACGACGTCTATTGGATGCGGCGGCGAGCGGCGACGCAGCAGCGCAAGGATGCGCTCCGCAGGCCTTGATGCGGTCGGCGGAGTTGGCTGCTGCCGCTGAGGAGGCAGCGCGGCCGCGTCGGAAACCGTTGGCAGCGACGGCGCGAACGCGAATAAGTCGCGGTGGGCGGTCTTGCGTCGGATTTTTCCGCCGTGTATTTGCACCGCACACGTGTCCTTGCAAACACGCGCATCCGCCCGCCGTCCCGAAACCCCCTCTCGCCTGCGCGCTCTGGCAATTTTCGCGCAAACCCGACCACTTCCCCATTTTCGCACACCAAGAAATACGCAGCCGCCTCCACGACTACTTAAATCGCCAACGCCGCGGCCTAGAACACACCTCTGCCGAAGAACACTGGCTCCAAAAACTCGCCACATCCTAAACTACTCGCTATTGGGTCTTGGTAAACCACAAACTGGTCTGCTGGTTTATTTCTTGTCGGATACCGTCAAGCCAGCCGCCACCATTGCAGCATTTTTTTCTTGCTCTATAACCCAATGTTTCACCCCGATTTGGTGGCGTGAAAAGAGGCCCACACGTCAGGACGTCCTTTTTAAATTCGTCCCGTTGAGAAGAAGGATGTTTGGGGGCGCGTTGGGAAGAAGGAAGCCAAGCAGAAAAAAGACATTTCAAACTGTCCTTTTCTTCTAACGTGCTAAAAAATTTTGGATAATTAATCCTTCCCGGGAAGTTCTTGTTGGTACGCCAGCCGTGAACAGGTTACTGTCGAGTTGTGAAGTTGATGTATGTCGATAGCCTATTACCGGCTCCGTGGAACATCAACTACGCTATGAGGCGTAGGGATGAGTTTGAGGTACTAATGACCACCCAGATGCCCATGATGGATTGCACGAGTGAGCAGACGGTGGATGCCTGGCTGATGAAGGCCAACGAGATGTTTGGCAACCTTGGCCCTTCAGCTTGCCAAGCCTTGTGGTATATCTCTGCGCGCTGCCCTAAGGCCGACTTGAAGGCATATTTCGACCTGCCCCAAGGTGACACGACTCCCATCGAAGAGGTCGTCGACAGGGCCATTAGGAAGAGATACGCGACAAGCACGTGGCGCAGTGAGAGTACCCGTGAGATGTGGTCGGACTCTTCCGCCAAGACCGAAATGGAAGGCTACGACGTTCACTCCGAGGGCATACCACCCGGTGCCCCTTATCGATGCGGCGCTTGCGCCGTATCCCCCGTGGATGTCATCGAAGCTGCGAGCCGAAAGGATAACCTCCTTGGCCATCCTGAGAATCAAGGCCGACCGGCTTCAGAGGAATGAGACCGACAAGCTGAAGGAAGTCAGAATCCACTACCAGGAGGCAGCTTCTCCTGGTTATTGTGTATCCTTCTGTCGACCCGGGTGGATGGCTTGTTTGGAGCAGTGGGGGGTGCGAATTGAACTGCAGAATGTTGCTAGCGCGTGCCCGAGCCGGGATGAAGTCGTCCACGAGTTCCGTCCA